GTAACAGACAGGTGTCAGAACTACCAGCAGGTAGTGCACCACATATATTGTGACAGTAACAGACAGGTGTCAGAACTACCAGCAGGTAGTGCACCACATATATTGTGACAGTAACGGATATATGTCAGAACTACCAGCAGGTAGTACACCACATATATTGTGACAGTAACAGACAGGTGTCAGAACTACCAGCAGGTAGTACACCACATATATTGTGACAGTAACAGACAGGTGTCAGAACTACCAGCAGGTAGTACACCACATATATTGTGACAGTAACAGACAGGTGTCAGAACTACCAGCAGGTAGTACACCACATATATTGTGACAGTAACAGACAGGTGTCAGAACTACCAGCAGGTAGTACACCACAAAAAGCCATATCCCTTAGACATAATGGAAGCAGATCTAGAGGTCGATCTCACAAAACTGGAATAGAAAGAATATCCGAGGGATCTACGTAGCACATTCAAAGGCTGGCACCCCACATCTATTCAGAACCAGTTGCTGAAAGGCAGAACAGAATTAGAGAAGAAGAAGATGAGCGTACTCAGAAAGCATGCTAGAAAATATAAAGGCAGACCAACAGAACCTGCTTGAAAATATACAGGCAGATAAACAAAACGCGCCAACACACAGTCTGCGACAGGTAGCATCAGGACTGAAACTGGCTAAGACACAAAGGAGGCATTCATTGTAACGCCACCTGGGTTTTGATGTTGGGTTTACAGTCAACTTAACACACTAAATCTCTTTTACTTCATTTATGAAACGGAATGCTGTCTTATATACAGAGATGGCATCTTGCCTACTAACTGACTTACTTTTAAAGTATACACGCACACACACACACACATAAGCACGCACACACACACACACAAATCTGTATCTAGTTGGAATACTGAATTTTATTTCATTATCCTTCATCATTCACAATAAACCAGTTGAACCAAATTCTCGTGGACTTGCCGCTAAGTTACCTCGTTTTCATCACCACCATACTGCACACTTCACTTTTCAGGTTTGCTAAACTGGACCATATTTGTGTCACACAACCTTACATCTGTAGACAGTCGCATTGTTTGTTTCTCACACTCTTATATTTCTTGATGTTGGCATGTTCGTTTCACACATTCTTACAGTTCTTGACGGTCGCATGTTTGTTTCACACACCCTTACATTTGTTGACAGTCGCATAATTGTGTCACACACCCTTACATCTGTTGACAGTCGCGTGTCTGTGTCACACACTCGCACCTCTATTGTTAGTCATTTGTCCAATGGAACATGGGGCATTTTTCTGAATCATTCTCTGTTTTTTTTTTTCCTCGAAGTTGTCAGCGAGGTATAGAGCACACACTGCGTTCACATCTTCTATGTGAGTCTACGAGGAATTCAGTAGGTACACACTTCTGCTTCAGTCTATGATTTAGCCAGTACACAATACTTACACATGTGTACTTCAGTCAATGGTGCAGTCAGTGTACATGTACAAATGAAATTATCTTGCACTTAAATCTATGACTGTGTACATATTCTGAACCGTTTAAGGACCTTCAGCTCTATTAAAACCTTTCACTATGTACTTACTCCGTAATGTGCACACGTTGTGTATTTTTGTATACATACCTGGTACTGTGCACTCATTTTTTATTGTTGTATAAATATCTTGTACTGTGCAGACGTTGTGTATTGTTATACTGCCTTGTACTGTGCACACATTGTGTATTGTTGTATACATAACTTGTACTGTGCACACATTGTGTATTGTTGTATACAAACCTTGTACTGTGCACACATTGTGTATTGTTGTATACAAACCTTGTACTGTGCACACATTGTGTATTGTTGTATACATACTTTGTACTGTGCACACATTGTGTATTGTTGTTTACATAACTTGTACCTGAGTCTCAAGTCTATGTCGGTGTTTATTTATCATTATTTAAATGTTGGCTACATGTGCACATTAGCAGCCTCTGTGCTCTGAAACTGAGTGATATCTAGGGGTCTCTTGTGATGTAGTTCCTTTTATCAGCAGCGAATTAGTTTGCAGCAGTTTTATAATCGTATCAACACTTGTTGTTTCTAAACTATTGCTGTTGTGGTAACAAGAACATTGCTGTCATGGATAAATAATTGATGTGGTAGTTAAATGATTGCTGTGTTGGTCAAATGGGGTTGTTGTTGTTGTCAAATGAATCTTGCATTTGTCCACTGATTGTTGTAGTTTTAAAATAATTGTTGTGATGGTAAATGATTGTTGTATTGGTCAAGTAATGGTTGTGTTGGGCAGGTTACAGTTGTAGTTTTAAAATAATTGTTGTGATGGTAAATGATTGTTGTATTGGTCAAGTAATGGTTGTGTTGGGCAGGTTACTGTTGTAGTTTTAAAATAATTGTTGTGATGGTAAATGATTGTTGTATTGGCCAAGTAATGGTTGTGTTGGGCAGGTTACTGTTGTAGTTTTAAAATAATTGTTGTGATGGTAAATGATTGTTGTATTGGTCAAGTAATGGTTGTGTTGGGCAGGTTACTGTTGTAGCAGTCAAATGATTGTTGTGATGGCCCAATCACTTAATCAAACGAGATCTGTTGCCTTCAGACCAGAAATGTTGTGGTCAAATGATAGTTGTAGTAGTCAAATGGTTGATGTTGGGGTCCAGAGATAAGTGACTTATTAAATTACATCAATTGTTGTGAATGCCCATGAAACGGTGACGTTTTGTACTGACGTGATAAATATTATAAAGAACTGCTGTAATGATATGTTAATTGTCAAAGTCTTGCAGTTGTGTGTCGAAGAATGTTCGGCTTAAAGATAAATGTGTTAAGAGCAGCAGAAATATGACGGCTGAACAAAGACGGTTGGGGGAGAGGGAGGCGTTGGTGTAGTCATTAGATTCTTGCTTGTAAGTCTCAAGATCTTGGGTTTGAATTCCTGTATGATTTAGGGGCCCCGTTTGGGGAGAGAAAAAAACAGACCTGCTAGCCCTAACAAGCACGTCACAGAAGGCATTAATGAACGGAGTTAGAGTACATCTGTTTGAGAAGCCCATGTATACAGTTTGTAAACAAATAAGGTAGAACTGCAGATCCAATTCTAACACAAAGCCGCTATTCTAAAACAAGACCAAAGTCCAGAAGTGGACGAGCAACCAGAACTTTCGAAAAGAGTTTAGAGGCCGTGAACTAATCAACAATAATAATTTTTTTTGTCAAACAGCAGACAAAAGACAAATGAAATGTTTCGGTCACAGTTACATCAAAGGACAAGACTGCTGTGTTTTATTTTGAAAATTATACTGGAAGAGAGAGAGGGGTAGGTAGACAAGTACAGGGTACTGGAAGAGACACATATATTAATAACCAAGACAAGTACAGGGTACTGGAAGAAACAAGTGCAGGTAGACGAGGTCAGTGTACTGGAAGAGACAGGTGTAGGTAGACAAGGACGGGGTACTGGAAGAGACAGATGTAGGTAGACAAGGACGGGGTACTGGTAGAGAGAGGGGTAGGTAGACAAGTACAGGGTACTGGAAGAGACAGGTGTAGGTAGACAAGGACGGGGTACTGGAAGAGACAGGTGTAGGTAGACAAGGACGGGGTACTGGAAGAGACAGGTGTAGATAGACAAGGACGGGGTACTGGAAGAGACAGGTGTAGATAGACAAGGACGGGGTACTGGAAGAGACAGGTGTAGATAGACAAGGACGGGGTACTGGAAGAGACAGGTGTGCGTAGACAAGGACGGGGTACTGGAAGAGACAGGTGTAGATAGACAAGGACGGGGTACTGGAAGAGACAGGTGTAGGTAGACAAGGACGGAGTACTGAAGAGACAGGTGTAGGTAGACTAGGACGGAGTACTGAAGAGACAGGTGTAGGTAGACAAGTTTGGGGTACTGGAAGAGACAGGTGTAGGTAGACAAGGGCGGGGTACTGGAAGAGACAGGTGTACGTAGACAAGGACGGGGTACTGAAGAGACAGGTGTAGGTAGACAAGGACGGGGTACTGAAGAGACAGGTGTACGTAGACAAGGACGGGGTACTGAAGAGACAGGTGTAGGTAGACAAGGACGGGGTACTGGAAGAGACAGGTGTAGGTAGACAAGGACGGGGTACTGAAAAGACAGGTGTAGGTAGACAAGGACGGGGTACTGAAGAGACAGGGGTAGGTAGACAAGGACGGAGTAATGAAGAGACAGGTGTAGGTAGACAAGGACGGGGTACTGAAGAGACAGGGGTAGGTAGACAAGGACGGGGTACTGAAGAGACAGGTGTAGGTAGACAAGGACGGAGTACTGAAGAGACAGGGGTAGGTAGACAAGGACGGAGTACTGAAGAGACAGGGGTAGATAGACAAGGACGGGGTACTGGAAGAGAGTCATAATTTTATCCTTTTCTAGTATCATTTGCTGTAGGATGACAATTATATCTGCAACCTACCCCAAAGTCACCCAAGTATAAATCTGGCAATTTTCATCTTCTTGTATGTGCATGTTCAGGACTCTCGACACTTTACAATATGTCGAATGCAAACATGTTAATTGCTACTGCAAACAAGTCGAAATAAATAATTATTGTCCATGTCCTAACCTGGATTTGAAGCTTATTTGAGTTTTGCAAAATCAAAACGAATTATTTTTTGTGTTTTGAGATAACTGTGTGTTTACAAATTACCGCTGTCCGATTGGTCAAATTGGTCGAACAATAACTCGGTCGTCATACAGTCAACATCTATCACTTAATGGTCAGACTACAATTTCTTGAGTGTCAATGTCACAGTTTTAGGATGAATGATAGCTTTGTTGTAAAAGAGGGTTATGATCTGAAATACTGCCATCATAAAATTAGCATTTTTATGAATGAAGGATAACTTCAGTGAACCGATTACTTGTGTAAAATATCACATTTGTTGCTAAAGCAATAACTTTGCTACAAGGGACTAAGGTAAGGCTCCACGACAGCATTGGAAACGTCCCAGACCAGTTGGACACTCAGCGCCGCTCGAATATAAACTCGTTATAATGCTGCCATTTGGCCTCTTCTGTGTCCAGCCCCGCTTTGATGTCGCCAGCATTGTTAGTCCCAGAACCACAGCTGCCCACCAAGGAAAATCCCTCCTCCTGGAGCATGTCAAAAGCCTGCTCCAAGAATGAATGCTTCAGGAAAAAACGGCTGGTGTAGCGGTCGCAGTCACCTCTGTCCGGGTCCCGACTTTCGTTCAGCGTGTTCTTAAATACCTCTCGGCACAGCGACACCTTGCCGCAGATGATAATCCGGCTCAGTTTGCGGAATTTGACATCCGCGAGACCGTCCCTGCCGAAAGCAAAAGTGCCCCGGTAGCCGACTGTGATGTAGCCAGGTCCTCTTTCGCTGACCGGCGTTCTGGCCGGGCTGGAGTTTGTACTGGCCGAGTTCTCCATCATGTGGGGTGGCAGAGCCAGCTCGCTGGACGTGGTTGCAAGCTGTTGGCATGGCTTCACTAAAGGAGACGTGCAAGAGAGGCTGGATTGATGGGACAGTTGCTTATTGGCTGTTGCTAGGTCTTTATTCTGATCTGAAGAAGACAAGGACGAGTGCTGTAGAAACCTCTGTGTGGTAGCCGGGTAGGCGCTGATGATTCTTACCAAGTTTGGAAGATTGAAAAATTCGGCTTCCTGGCGAAGTCTTTCTTTCTCGTGAAAATTCTCTGGCAACACCAGCTGTAGGTTTCTGAGATAGTCCAGCACGTACCTGCGGGTGGAAAGTATTGCTGTCAAAAAGGTCAGCACACCTTATCGTTGTTATCATAAAAACAATGTTCATTTTCTTCTGCTTCCTTCTTTCTTCTTCTTCTTCTTCTTCTTCTTCTTCTTCTTCTTCTTCTTCTTCTTCTTCTTCTTCTTCTTCTTCTTCTTCTTCTTCTTTTTCTTCTTCTTCTTCTTCTTCTTCTTCTTCTTCTTCTTCTTCTTCTTCTTCTTCTTCTTCTTCTTCTTCTTCTTCTTCTTCTTCTTCTTCTTCTTCTTCTTCTTCTTCTTCTTCTTCTTCTTCTTTTCATTTTCATTTTCTTCTTTTTCTTCTTCTTCTTCTTTTTCTTCTTCTTCTTCTTCTTCTTCTTCTTCTTCTTCTTCTTCTTCTTCTTCTCTTCTTCTTCTTCTTCTTCTTCTTCTTCTTCTCTTCTTCTTCTGCTGCTGCTTCTTCTTCTTCTTCTTCTTCTTCTTCTTCTTCTTCTTCTTCTTCTTCTTCTTCTTCTTCTTCTTCTTCTTCTTCTTCTTCTTCTTCTTCTTCTTCTTCTTCTTCTTCTTCTTCTTCTTCTTCTTCTTCATCATCTTCTATCTTCTTCTTCTTCTTCTTTTTCTTTTTCTTTTTCTTCTTCTTCTTCTTCTTCTTCTTCTTCTTCTTCTTCTTCTTCTTCTTCTTCTTCTTCTTCTTCTTCTTCTTCTTCTTCTTCTTCTTCTTTTTCTTCTTCTTCTTCTTCTTCTTCTTTCTTCTTCTTCTTCTTCTTCTTCTTCTTCTTCTTCTTCTTCTTCTTCTTCTTTTTTTCTTCTTCTTCTTCTTCTTCTTCTTCTTCTTTCTTCTTCTTCTTTTTCTTCTTATTTTAAGCGATTTGCGAAACGCACAGCTGGAGCATGTTTATCAGCTTTCGGAACCGGACGATGCTATAGCATATTGGATAAAAACAGTCTACAATGTGTTTGATAAACATGTGCCGGTTAAAGAAGTTAAAAGTCAAAGTAAGTCTCCATGGATCACTAGTGAAGTTCTGGAAGTTATGGAGATCGGGACATGGCACATAAAAATAAAAATGTTATAGAGTATCGTAGGCTAGGAAATTAAGTGCAATATATAATCCGTAGGATCAAGAAAGATCATTTTAGCAAGTTGATTTTAGATAAATAGCGAAGTATGGTGTGGCCTCGTGCCACGGGACCGCTACGGTAGCCATAAAGGCCACCATGGGTCACCCCGAAACGTCCTGGCCAACGGGGCTCTGGTGAAGTTGCGACAGGCCTAGCAAGCCGGCAATGGATTTATTACCGCTACAGAAATCAAAATGAGATATAAACGGACTGATCAAACGGTATCTGACCATGGCAATATTAAGGGACTACGAAACAGAACAGCGAAATACAAGATTGCAACACTTAACACCGCTGGCCTGGGAAATAAAACAGAAGAGATTATTGAAATTATGGAAAAAAGGAAAATCAAGTTAATGGGGCTAGCTGACATAAGACGCAAGGGAAATATTAATAAGAAAATACACAGAGGCTACTTACTAACATATGCAGGAGGAGAAACATCGAAGAATGGAGTGGGTTTCCTGGTACATCCCGACATATCTAACTACATATTAGACATAAATTATCACTCAGATAGAATTATTACTTTGAAAATTAAAAGAGGAGAACAAGCTGCAACATATATACAGATATATTCACCATGCAATGATAATTATACAGAAGAGCAGAAAGATGAATTCTTTGACGATCTGTCTGATGAGATAAAGAAAGTTGAGGGAAGCAGCATACTATATGTAATGGGTGACTTCAACGGGAGGGTAGGAAATAACAGAAGAGAATACGAACAGTTTTTAGGTCCATACGCAGCTAAGAACAGTGCTAGAAATGGAAATGGTCAAAGAATATTGGATCTATGCAGCCAGCACAATCTTTTTATTACGAACACATTCTTTGACCATAGAGATTCACAACTTTACACTTGGTACAAATGGAATGATGTCTCCATCAAGAGCCAGATTGACTTTATACTTACCAGAGTTCAGGGAAGAAGGAGAATTCTTGATTCAAGAGCAATCCCTAATGGTCTATGTGACACTGACCATAAAATAGTTGTGTTAACAGCAAAACATCTTACATTAAAGAAACACAGAAAGAAATTAAACAAAAACAAGGATCTCATCAAGATAGCAAATCTGAAACAGGAAGGAGTAAAAGAACAGTTACAACAGAAAGTAGAGACAGCATTCAAACAACTTCCACATGTAGTTGGCAATATTGAGGAAAAATTGAGTATATATAAAAACACTATGCTTAGTATTGCAGAAGAATTATGTGGAAAACGGAAGAGTGGAAACAGACGGGGGAATAACAAATATTCACCTTGGTGGTGCGAAGAAGTAAAAAAAGCAATTAAAAAGAAAAAAGACTTATATAAACAGTGGATAAAATCAAAGAAAGAAGAAGATTATATAAACTATAGACTGCAAAGGATAGAAACCAACAGGAGTTTCAAGATAGCAAAACAAGCATCCTGGGAACGTTTCGGTGAGTCACTAGCAGAAAATGAGAAAACAGCCAGCAGAAAATTTTTCAAAGTAGTTAAAAATATGCGGAAAAGAGACGGGAGCTACAACCCCACTGGAATAATTAATGATAAGACAGGAAGGCCATTGATAGATCCACCCGAGATAGCAGAAAGATGGAGGGAATACTTCAATGAGCTCTTTAATCCTCTAGGAGATCATCAGGAAAGAACAACTGAAGAGCACAGAGCAACAGTGTTAGAACCACACATACTAATGGATGAAATAGAAAAAGTCATTAAGCAGTCTCCCAAATATAAAGCACCAGGAGCTGATACATATTCATGGCAAATGCCCTGTACCAGTTCTAAAGGAAATATGGGTTGTGTTTCTGCCTTTCCCTTTAACACGTAGCTAAGGTGGGGCTCACAGTGTGCTCATTCCCCGCCACCAGATTGCCTGCAGGTTTTGCTGAGCTCTTTATGACTCTAAGCATGGCCTAAGCATGAGTAGTTGGGGCAACTGGACCGTCACGTCCTGAGTCCCTGTGCCTTCACGATAGTTTCCGGTATTTAGGGGGGTTAGCATACTTGTTTCCATTCCTAAGACTGTTCAGCACACCTCTGGCTCCTTCCCTCCCACAGGGGGCAGTACGGTGTGGTGCACCGGGTTTATTATCGAGGTTTGCTCCTCTAGATCCATTGTGTTTTGCCTGGACTACCTCGGGGAGGCTGTGACTCTTCGCCACGCACAATGGTCTTGAGGTAAGAGAGGTTTTGCTAGGTCAAGAGGCTGACACCACAATGGACGCTCCTTTCGTGAACAGATATTCACTAGACCTAGGTTGAAGTAGGGGGGGGGGACCCACTACCCACAACACCAACACTTCTTACCCCCTGCCTCTCGAGGCTCAGTCCCACCAGGAGCTGATAGATTACCAACATAAATAATTCAAGCAGCAGGTGAAAGCAGCATCAGATGGCTTCACATAATATTCAATGCAGCATGGGTACAACAAACGGCCCCTATTGATTGGCAACATGCAATAGTTATACCATTGTGGAAGAACAAAGGAAGCAAACGAGAATGCGGTCAATATCGAGGCATCTCTTTTTTAAGCCATGTTGGCAAAATGTATGCCAAGATAATAGAAACAAGACTGAGACCAGTGATAGAACCACAGCTGGCAGAAGAACAGATGGGATTTAGGAGAAATAGAAGCTGCACAGATGCAATCTTCATACTAAAACAGTTAATAGAAAAGAACATTGAATACAATAAGAACTTATTTGTGGCATTCGTAGACCAGGAGAAGGCATTTGACAGAGTCGACAGACAATTACTATGGAAAATAATGGCAAGATATGGAGTAAGTGAACACCTCATCGAAGTGTGCAAAAGTTTATACAGGGATTGTTGAAGTGTAGTTAGAATAAATCAGGGAACATCTCATCCTTTCACAGTGACATCTGGAGTAAGACAGGGGTGTGTCTTATCACCACTGCTGTTTATCACCTACATCGACAGTATATGCAAGAATGCCAAGCCTATGAATGAAGATCTTAGTAAGATCAACGAATTACTCTTTGCAGATGAGCAGGCCTTGATAGCAGATACAGCCATGAAATTGCAACAACATCTAACATCCATGAATGAAGAATGTAAAAAAAATAATATGAGAATCAACACTGAAAAGACAGAAGTAATGTCAATAGGAAAAAAGAAGATAGATCTAAACATAGCAATAGAATACAAAGGCATTAAACTGAGTTTAAATATCTGGGAACTACATTTACCGAAGATGGGAAATTGGATAAAGAAATTGACATTAGATGCAGTAAGGCAAACGAAGTATTGGGACAGCTAGCCCCCCTCTTACAGCATAAGACAATCCCAATCAGCACAAAGATACATCTTATTCAAAGCATATTTATTCCAACTCTGTGTTACCAGTGCCAGACATAGTCACTCACAACAAACCATAAAAGAAAATAAGTAACCACGGAAATGAGATGTCTGAGAAGGGCTGTAGGAGTGACCATAAGAGATAAGATCAGAAAGGAGATCATAAGAGAACACGTCGGCACAGAACCAATTCTGGATTACATACAAAGACAGCAAGTGAAATGGTTTGCCCACTTAGAGAGAATGCCTTGTGACACCATACCATACAAAGCATACATGGAAAGAGAAGAAGGAGGTAGAGCACGGGGTAGACCAAGAACAAGATGGAAGGATAACATCAGAGAAACTCTACAACAGCACGATGTGCCTATGGTCGAGGCAGCCAGAAGAGCTAGAAACAGAACCTTATATCTCCCTCGACACCCACAGCGGTAAAAGAGGAAGTGAAGAAGAAGAAGAAGATTATAGACAAATCAAACAGTACAGACATATGAAAGGCGATTAACATGCTGACCAACAAGAAACATCATTCAGATCCTGTAAAACCAGATTCTCTTACATGTAATGATTTCAGTAATTTTTT